TGTGGGGGGGAGACGCATGCGGATTGTGCCACGGGGACCTTCGGTGGGGCTCCCTATGGGGCCACGACGCGCTGTACTGGGCGGGGGAACCGCATGCGGACTGCGCCACGGGGACCTTCTGTGGGGCTCCATATGGGGCCACGAAACGTTGTACTGCGTGGGGGAGACGCATGCGGAGTGCGCCACGGGGACCTTCGGCGGAGCCCCTATCGGGCCACGGAGCGCTGTACTGGGTGAGGGAGACGCATGCGGACTGCGCCACGGGGGCTTTCGGTGGGTCTCCCTACGGGACCACGAAGCATTGTAATGGGTGGGGGAGACGCATGCGGACTGCGCCACCGGGACCTTCGGTGGGGCTCCATATGGGGCCACGAAACGCTGTGCTGATGCGGACTGCGCCACGAGGGCTTTCGGCGGAGCCCCTATGGGGCCAGCTGTACTGGGTGGAGGAGATGCATGCGGAGTGCGCCACGGGGACCTCCGGTGGGGCTCCATATGGGGCCACGGAGCGCTGTGCTGCGTGAGGGAGACGCATGCGGACTGCGCCACCGGGACCTTCGGCGGAACCCTTAGGGGGCCACGAAACGCTGTATTGGGCGGGGGAGACGCATGCGGACTGCGCCACGGGGACCTTCGGTGGTGCTCCCAATGGGGCCACGAAGCGTTGTATTGGGTGGGGGAGACGCATGCGGACTGCGCCACGGGGACATTCGGTGGGGTTTCATATGGGGCCACGAAGCGCTGTACTGGGTGAGGGAGACGTATCCAGACTGCGGCACGCGGACCTTCGGCGGAGCCCCGATGGGGCCACGGAGCGCTGTACTGGGTGGAGGAGACGCATGTGATACACACCATTGGGGCCTTAGGTGGACCTCCCTTATGGGGCCACGAAGCGCTGTATTGGGTGGGGGAGACGCATGTGATACACACCAGTGTGGCCTTAGGTGGACCTCCGTATGGGGCCACGAAGCGCTGTACTAGATGGGAGAGACGCATGTGATACACACCATTGGGGCCTTAGGTGGACTTCCCGATGGGGCCACGAAACGCTGTACTGGGTAGGGGAGACGCATGTGGGTGAGAAGCGTGAGAGGAAGAGAGGAGGGAGGAGGAGGATGAGGAGGAGACGCGGGGACCGTCTCTTCAAAACGAAGACCCAACAACACATGTTGGTTGGGAACAACCGGTTGAAGACCCGGAAGCATGCCCAAACATTGTTCTCGGGATTCCTACGTCACGGATCAACATGATTGTTGCATGTTGACGATCCGGAATCGCGCTAGCAAACCATTCCTGGGACTTCAGCGCAAAGGTCTACGTAATTGTTGCACCCGCATAATCCTGAACCCTTCCAAAGCAACATTTCTGATACGTTGATGATGGGAATCCGTGGAACTCTTGCAAATGTTGTAAACGAATGTGCGCGGTGCTAAGGCGAGAGCCACATTTTGAAAAGGGACCGCCTTCAATTCGTGAAATTATTGCAATTGTTTGTAAACGAATCTGCTCCGCGTTAAGGCTAGAGCCACATTTTGAGAGCCACCCGCCCTCAATCCGTGAAGCTGTTGCACATGCTCAAATCGAATGTGCGCCGCGCTAAAGCGAGAGCCACGTTTTGAAAACGACCCTGCCTCAATTCATGAAGCTCTTGCGTATTGTTTAAACAAATGTGCGCCGCGCTAAGACGATAACCACATTTTGAAAACCACTCGCCCTCGATCCGTGAATCTGTTGTAATTGTTAAACGAATGTGCTCCGCGCTAGGGCGAGAACCACAGTTTGAACACCACCCGCCCTCAACCCGTGAAACCCTTGCAAATGTTTAATACGAATGTGCACCGCGCCAAGGCGAGAACATTTTGAAAACCACCCGCCCTCCATCTGTGAAGCCTTTGCCAAAGTGGTGAGGACGTTTCAGGCGAGACGCCCGGCCCGCCCTAAAAACTGGCCTCGGGGTGCGACAGGGAGAAGTTATTTATACGGAATAGGAATTGAGGAGGAGGAGGAGTAGGAGGAGGAGGAGGAGGAGGAGGAGGAGGAGGAGGTGTAGCAGGAGGAGGAGGAGGAGGAGTAGGAGGAGGAGGAGGAGGAGGAGGAGGAGGAGGAGGTGTAGCAGGAGGAGGAGGAGGAGGAGGAAGAGGAGGAGGAGGAGGAATGAGGAGGATGGAGGAGGAGGAGGAGGAGGAGGATGAGGAGGATGAGGAGGAGGAGGAGAGGAGGAGGAGGAGGAGGAGGAGGAGGAGGAGGTGGAGGAGGGGAGGGAGGGGGAGAAGGGGGAGGGGGGGGGGGATGAGGAGGGAGGAAGGAGGGACGCGCAGGGAGGAGGAGGGAGAAGGAGGGAGGAGGAGGGCTGTCCTTGCTGCCGCTGCTGGCCCTTGTCGGCGCACGCCCTGGCGGCGAGCCTCGCGGCCTGCCGCGGCGGCCACGCTTCCCTGTGTGGGTTCGACTAACTTAGCCGCTAGGCGCCTACCGTGGCGTCTGCCGAAAGTTATGATGCGGAGGCTGCACGCTCAGCAGGAGGGGATGGGGGGAGGGGGAAGAGGGGCGTCCCACTCCAGCTCGTGCTCTTCCGCCTCTTCTTCCTCCTCCTCCTCCTCCTGCTCCTGCTCCTCCTCTCCTTCCTCCTCCTCCTTTCCCTCCTTCCCTCCTCCTCCTTCCCCTCTCCTCCCTCCTCCTCCTCCTCCCTCCCTCCTCCTCCTCTCTCCTCCTCCTCCTCCTCCCCCGCCTCCTCCTCCTCCCTCCTCCTCTCTCCTCCTCCTCCTCCTCCTCCCTCCTCCTCCTCCTCCTCCCCCTCCTTCATTCTCCTCCTCCTCCCCTCCTCTTCTGCTCCTGCCTCCTCTCCCTTCCCGCCTCCTCCTTCCCTCCTTCTTCCTTCCCTCCTCTCCTTCCCTCATTCTCCTTCCCTCCTCCTTCTCCTCCTCCTCCGCCTCCTCTTCTTCCTCCTCCTCCTCCTCCTTCTCCTGTCTCATGCCCTTACCTTCCCTCGCGTTCCCTCCCCGCCTGGTTGCCTGCCCCCCCCCTCTCTGCGTGTCCCCCCCCCCCTTGGCCTTCTCCCGCCCGCCCCCTCTCCCCTTCCTTTCCTCTCTCTTTCCCTCCCCCCCTGTCCTTCATCCCTCTCTCCTTGTCTCCCCCTCCCTCCCTCTCTCTCCCCCCCCCCCCTCCTCCCCCTCCCTCTCTCCCCTCCTGTCCTTCCTCCCTCCTCCTCTCCGCTTCCTCTCCTCTTTCCTTCTCCCTCCTGTCCTCTCCTCTCTCTCTCTTCCTCTCCTCTCCTCCCTCCTGTCCCTCCTCTGTCCTTCTCTTCCCTTCCTGTCCTTCCTCCCTCTTTACAGTTAAATCTTGAGTAGGGCCGGGAGCCAGAGGGCGCCCTCCCCCTACAGGACCACCAAAGAGGGGAGACGTCACTGGGAGTGCATCAGGGGGGGGTTCAGTGGGGGGGTGCATCAAGGGAGGGCGTCAAGGGAGTGCATTAAGGGGGGCGGTTGAAGCGCGCGGTTAAAGCGCGCAGGGTGGTTGCACCCCATGAAGCAGGTTTCTGGGTGTCTGCAGACCTGACCCTTCGGCCCTACACAAGGTAAGCTGTATGAGTACTACTCTCCCTCCTCCCCTGAAGTTGTCCGGAAGTTCTCCCGCCCCCTCCGCGTGCTGTTCTTTTACACGGGATTTCAATCATTTTTAATGTTTTTGCAATCCGATGTTTTTCAGTGTTTCAAAATGGTGTTCCCGCTGCAGCGTGGGTCTCATTTTCGGATCGGCTCTTTGCTCCCGTCGTTCAGAATGGCGCTCTCGCCCTAGCGCGGGCCACTTTTCTGGATCCGAGTCTGGCTTCATTGTGGTCCCCCCTCATATCCCTTCCTCCGCCCTCCCTGGTCCTCCTGTTCCTCACGCTCCTTTCACTCCAGTTCCTGTTGCTGCTGTTCGTCTTGCCCCAGCGCGGGCCACTTTTCTGAATCCGAGTCTTTCTTCATCGTTGTCGCCCCCCCATTTCCCTTTCTCCGCCTTCCCATGGTCTTCCTCGTCTTCCCTATCTTTCCGCTTTAGTTCCTGCTGCTGCTGTTCGTCCTCGTCCTTTTCCTCCCGCTCATCCTCCTGCTCACCCGCCACCTCTTCCTGTGCACGCAGCTCCCTGGGAAAACGAAGTGGCCTTTCTGTGGGAGTCGCAGGTCGGGTATGACACGCGTTCGCGCGTCCGTGGATAATAACATACCAGCACCATGGGAAGGGATGAAAGGGGGGAATAGGATGTCAGATGAGGCGCGAGCGCACCTAACTTGTCCTCCCCCTCTCTCTCCCAATCCTTCTCCCTCACACTTCACTCTTCCCTCCCTCGCTCGTTGATCCTCCTGATATCCCTCCACCTATTGTGGATCTCTCTTCCTCTTGTAACCGCTCTTTCCAGCCCGATTTCAGACAGCCGACTTGCCGCAGACTCCTAAGACACCAGAGGGTTGATGCCGAGGCCTTCAGACGCTCGTATTTTCACGCACGAGCGTAATTCTTCAAGCCGGACCACTCTCGCGGCCAACGACCCAGCAACGGCCAAGCCCAGCAACGCTAAAAGCTTCAACCCCCAGACCCATCAAGGGCCAATCTCGGGCGACGAAATCTGTACACATCCACTGCTTCCTGGCCAGGCCCATCCTGAACCCAGGAGGGGTGTCTACGCCCTCCTGGCTAAGCCAGGAGGGCGTGGCGTATACATCGCTGCTGGGTTCAGGGTAAAGTTGCAGCCAAACGCGCCACTGTCCGCCCTTCTCCCTCTCCTTGCAGCCGCGGCACGCCACCGCCCCCGCGTTTCGCTCTTCTCCTCTTCTCGGACCTGCCTCCTCGGAGGCAGGCCCACTCAAGGCACAATGACAATGTCAAATCAATTGCAGCACACATCGGAGCAAGTGGTTCATGTTAGTCAAGCGAGGCGCTGGTTCGCCCGAAAGGTGCCGGTCTCGCGTCTCGCGCCAAAGTGCTGCAGCGACCAACGCCGACGGCGGCGGCGGCGGCGCAAGGTTATGCCCTCGCCCGAGCAGATGTCGCCCGCCGTGGCCGAGCTGCCCTCCGAGGAGGTCGCATACGTGCCCTCGGAGCCAGCCTACGACCCCTTTGCCGACAGGACCGCGCGTTCATCGAACCCCGCCCCGCCAGCCGCCGCCCTCGCTCGCGCCTCTGCCTCGGAGGCCCTCGGAGACCCTCTGGTGCCCTCGGAGGTCTCCAGACGTCCTCGGAGGTTTACGCAGGTTCCTGGAGGGTTGTCTGGGATTCGAAGAAGAAAAAACGCCATCGCTCCGCGCGGATCTCTTGGATCCGCGCTGGGTGGGCACGCCTGGCGGCGCCTCCTGTATGGCGAGAGTGCGCGGCGCTGAGGCGAGATCCCCGTTTTGAAACTCCATCCCTGTAGCTGTTGTTTTGACGACGAGTGTGCGGGGCACTAAGGCAAGAGCTCCATTTTGGAAAGCATCTGCCCTCCATGCTTGTAAGCATTGTAAGATTTGGCGACACATCTGCAGCGCTGAGGCGAGCACACCAATTTGAAAAGGAACCGCCCTCCATCCTTATGACAATGGCAAGCTTTTAATACGGATGCCCCAGTTTGGGCACCACACCCTCCATCCTTCTAGTTGTTGGATTTTCGAGTCTCGAGATCGTAAACGGTGAGGAAGTCTCAGGCGAGACGCCTGGCCCGCCCTTCCGGCACGCCTGGTGGTGCCACAGGGAAACGTTTTCCCGAAGGAGAAGGGATGGAGGAGCACGGAGGAGAGGGAGGAGACGGAGGAGCCGGGCCGCCAGGCCGCCCAGGGCCCCGAAAGCAGATGTGAAGCACAACGACTGGAGTCCTCGGCCCCAGCTTTACGCAGTGTTGTGAAGGCCTCACGGCTGGTGCCGCCGACCCAGGAAGAGGATCCCCATGGTGCAGGCGACAGCTGAAGGCGTTGGGGAAGGTTGGGACCAGACGCCCCGAAGAGTTCCCCTGAAGCCCCATGAAGTTCCCAAGAAGCGCATGACGAGGAGCACAGCTTGGCCAAGCTATCTGCCTATGTGCTCCCGCAGCCGCTGGGGGAGGAAGAGGGGGGGAATCAGGAGAGGGAGGAGGAAGAGGCGAAGGAGGAGGAGGAGGAGGAGGGAAAAGGAAGACCATTGTAAATCCAAGATCCATCAACGATATTGCAATACACCCCCCTTCGAAGTTCCCTCTTCATAGGGCCCTGCACGGGTTCATTGTCACTGAGGGAAGTGTCCCGTTGGACAGTCAACCGTATGACAATCCGGAATCTTGCCAGAACACCATCCTTGGGACTTCAACTCCGAATCAACGTGACCGTTGTGCCCTGCCGTTCCGACATCGTTGCGAAACACCGATTCTGGGACTTGAACCATGAGAAGCCTTGACACTGCTGCAAAATATTAAGGCGAATGTGCGCGGTGCTAAGACGTGAGCCACATTTTGAAGAAGGAACCGCCCTCCATCTGGGAAGCTCTTTCAAATGTTTAAGACGAAGGTGCGCGGCTCTACGACGTGAGCCACATTTTGGAAACGAGCTGCCCTCTATCTGTGAAGTTTTTTTCGAACTTTTGAGACGAATGTTCACGATGCGAAGGCGAGAGCAACGTTTTGAAAACGCATCGCCCTCCACCAGTGAAATTCTTGCAAACATTTAGCACGAATGTTCGCGGCGTTAGTTCGAGTGCCACATTTTGAAAACGGGCCACCCTGCATCCGTGAAGCTCTTGCACATGTTAAGCTTCAGGGCCATAATCGGTAAGGAAGACTCAGGCGAAACGCCCGGTCCGCCCTTTCGACTGGTCTCGGGGTGCGACAGGGAGGAGTCTTTTCTAAGGGAATGAGTGGAAAAGGAGGGCGGGGGAGCAGGAGGAGGAGGATGGGGAGGAGGAGGAGAAACGAGGAGGATAACAGGAGGAGGAGGATGAGGATGAGGATGAGGGTGAGGGTGATGATGATGATGATAATACTAATAATTCTGATGATGATGATGGTGATGGTGATGGTGATGGTGGTGGTAATGATGATGAGTATGATGATGATGATGACGATGCTGATGATAATGATGATGACGATGATGATGATTATGATGATGTTGGTGGTGGTGATGATGCTGATGGTGACGATGATGATGATGATGATGATGATGATGATGATGATGATGATGCTGATGATGATGATGATGATGATGATGATGATGATGATGATGCTAATGCTGATGATGATACTGTGGTGGTGGATGATTATGAAGAGGAGGTGGAGGAGGAGGAGGAGGAGGAGGCCCCTGAGAACCTTTTCGGGGCAACGGGAGCCTCCTCAAGCTTCATGCCGGTTTCTTGCCACCATCCTGCACCGTCTTGTAGGTATGTTCGGACCATTTAAGGTCAGACGTGGTCATCTTCGCCGTCTTTCAGAACATCTCGGATCGTCTGGGCGGCAATGCCGCGCAATCCTGACCATCTGGGAGGCGAGCCTGGTCGTCTCTTGGAGAATTCTGTGGGGGTCCTCTGGGGTCTCTCTTGGGGCGTTCGGGCACTTTCAGGCTTCTTGGATTATCGAAGACGCCTGCGGCGAATCACCGCCGCCCCCTGCCTTTTTGGAAGCGCCTATGTGGCCGAACGTTGAGGCCAGACCTGCCAAGCTATCGGACCATGTGTTCCCCGAATCGGTTTGGAAAGCCTTCGGGGAACACGTGGGCATCTTGAAGGTCATCTTGGCCGTCTGGAGGCCATTTTGACCCTTTCGGGCCTTCTTGGAAGACGTCTTGGAGGGCTCTTGGGCCGTCTTGGAGGCCATCTTGAACGTCTTGGAAGCCTCTTGGGCCGTCTTGGGGGCCTCTTGGGGCCGTCTTGGGCCTCTTGGGCGATCTTTGGGGGCATTTGGGCCGTCTCGGGCCGTCGGAAGGCCCCAAAACAGCGAATGCCACAATTCTTCAAAAACTGATGGGACATTGAGGATTTTGGCATTTTCGGGCCTTCCTGGAGGCCTTCTTGGAGGCCTCTTGGGCCATCTTAGGGCCATTTTCGGCCGTCTTGGTGAGCTCCTGGCCCGTCTGACGCCGTCGGAAGCCGTTTGGGGGGCCTCTCTGGGCCGACTTGGGGCCCTCTTGGAATTCTCCAGGGCCATCTTGGAGGCCATCTTGGGCGTCTTGGAGGCCTCCTGGGCAGTTTTGGGGGCCTCTTGGGGCAGTCTTGGAGGCCTCCTGGCCCGTTCTGGGGCCATCTTGGAGGCCTCTTGGGGGATCTTTGGGCGATCTTTGGGGGCTCTTGAGCCCTCTCGGGCCGTCGGAAAGCCGAAACGAAGCACACGTCACAATCCTTTAAAGACCTTAGGAACATCAGTGCTTGTTAAAAACCTTTTTCTGGCCTTCCTGGAGGCCTTTTTGGAGGCCTCTTGGGCCGTCTTGGGCCAGCTTCGATCGGGCCGTATCGGGCCGTCGGAAGGCCGAAACGAAGCAAATGTCAAAATCCTGCAACAACCAACGGAAAATCTCTCTTTTCGGCCTTTCTGGCCTTCATGGAGGCCCTCTTGGAGGCCTCTTGGGCCGTCTTGGGCCAGCTGCGAGCCACCTTCGGCCATCTTGGTGGGTTCCTGACGCCGTCGGGAGCCGTCTTGGGGGCCTTTCTGGGCCGACTTGGGGCCCTCTTGGGGCGCTTCGGGGCCGTCTTGGAGGCCATCTTGGGCGTCTTGGAGGCCTCTTGGCCCGTCTTGGCGCCCTCTTGGGGCCGTCTTGGGGGCCTCTTGGGCCGTCATGGGGCCTTCTTGGAGGCCTCGTGGGTGCTCTGGGGGCGATCTTGGGGGCCTCTTGGGCAGTCTTGGACAGCGGGAAGACTTAAAAGAAGCACATGTCAACATCATCCAAAAACGCACGGAAAATGAATGATTTGGGCATCTTCGGGCTGACCTGGGGGACCTCTTGGCACCCTCTTGGGCCATCTTGAGGCCGTCTTGGAGCCACCTTGGCCCGTTTCGAGGCTTCTTGGACGATTTAGAAGGCATCTTGGATCCTCTTGGGCCGTCTTGGAGGCCATCTTGGACCATCTTGGGCGAACTTGGAGGCCATCCTGGGCCATCTTGGCCGTCTTGGAGGCCATCTTGGGCCAACTTGGGGCAACAAAGGCATCGACGGATGCGTTTTGAGATCCTTCCCGGGACCCCTGCGGGACGCGCTGGAGCCCAAGGGGGAGTTCTTTTGGAAAAGAGCCGAAACCAAAACCGAATCATCTAGCACGCCAGGCACTCCTGCGATGAATCGACAGGGGGCGGCGGATCGAAGACGCCTGCGGCGAATCACCGCCGCCCCCTGCCTTTTGTGGAAGCGCCTATGTGGCCGAACGTTGAGGCCAGACCTGCCAAGCTATCGGACCATGTGTTCCCCGAATCGGTTTGGAAAGCCTTCGGGGAACACGTGGGCATCTTGAAGGTCATCTTGGCCGTCTGGAGGCCATTTTGACCCTTTCGGGCCTTCTTGGAAGACGTCTTGGAGGCCTCGTGGGCCGTCTTGGAGGCCATCTTGGAGGCCATCTTGAGCGTCTTGGAGGCCTCTTGGGCCGTCTTGGGTGCCTCTTGGGGCCGTCTTGGGCGCCTCTTGGGCCGTTCTGGGCCCATCTTGGAGGCCTCTTGGGCGATCCTTGGGCGATCTTTGGGAGCTCTTGGGCCGTATCGGGCCGTCGGAAGGCCGAAACGAAGGAAATGTTAAAATCCTTCAAAAACCTACGGAAAATCACTCTTTTCGGCCTTTTCTGGCCTTCCTGGAGGCCCTCTTGGACGCCCCTTGGGCCGTCTTGGGCCAGCTGCGAGCCACCTTCGGCCATCTTGGTGGGCTCCTGGCCCGTCTGACGCCGTCGGAAGCCGTTTCGGGGGCCTTTCTGGGCCGACTTGGGGCCCTCTTGGGGTGCTCCAGGGCCGTCTTAGAGGCCATCTTGGGCGTCTTCGAGGCCTCTTGGACCCTCTTGGCACCCTCTTGGGGCCGTCTTGGGGGCCTCTTGGGCCGTCATGGGGCCATCTTGGAGGCCTCTTGGGCGATCTTGGGGCGATCTTGGCGGCCTCTGGGGCAGTCGCGGGCCGTCGGAAAGCCGAAAAGGAGCAAATGCCGAAATCCTTCAAAAACCGAAGGAAAATCAATGATTTTGGCCTCGTCGGGCCTTCCTGGAGGAACTCTTGGAGGCCTCTTGGGCCGTCTTGGAGGCCTCTTGCGGGCCTGTTCCGTCTTAGACCATATTGGGGCCATCTTGGGCCGTCTTGGATGCATCTTGGGGCCATCTTAGCCGTCTTGGAGGCCATCTTGGCTGTCTTGAAGGCATCTTGCAGGCCTTCTTGGGCCATCTGCGCGATTTTTCGAGGATGTCCCGAGCGAAACGGCCGTTTTTGGCGATGGCAACCGGGTCTTCCGGGTGGCCGGCGGGACGCGCCGGAGCCCCAGGGGGAGTTCTTTGGGAAAAAGAGCCAAAACCAAAACCGAGAGGGTCTAGCACGCCAGGCACCCCTGCGATGAATCGACAGGGGGCGGCGGATCTGGTGGCCCACGGCCCATCCCGCCACCGTGCCTTGGTATGATATTGTTGGGGACCAGCCTCTTGGGCGGCCTCTTGGAGGCTTCTTGGGCCGTCTTGGGCGGTCGGAAGCCCGAACAGTTGAGAACCTCAAAATCTCGCACCAACCTAAGGAAAATCAATGGTTTTGTCTTCCTCGGGCTCTCCAGGAGGGCCTTTTGGAGACCTCTTGGGCCGTCTTGGGGACTTCGTGATCTGTCTTGAGGCTGTCTTGGGAGCCCCTTGGGCCGTCTTGGGCCATCTTGTGCCATCTTGGCGTCATCTTGGCTTCCTTTGAAAGCCGTCCTGGAGACCATGAGGCCCCCAAGGAGACTTCAAAAGTCAGATCAAGAGGCCCCCGAGACGGCCTCTTGGGTTTGGGTTTCGGACCGCCCAAGACAGCCCAAGAGGCCTCTTTGGGCCGTCTTCTTGCTTTCTCGGAGCTTTTCAAGGCCGTCTTCGGGCCCTCTTGGGAGCTCCTTGGGCGCTCTTTGGGTTCCCTTGGGTCGACTTGTAGCCCTCTTGAGACGTCTTGGAGCCATCTTGGAGGCCTCTTGGAGGCCTCTTGGGCGTCTTGGGCGGTCGGAAACCCGACCTAAAGCAAGTCTATGGTTTGTCCTCCTCGGGCTCTCCAGGCGGGCCTTTTAGAGACCTCTTGGGACGTCTTGGGGGCTTCTTGATCTGTCTTGAGGCTGTCTTGGGAGTCTCTTGAGCCGTCTTGGGCCATCTTGGGCCATCTTGCCCTAAAACTTGGGGGCCTCTTGGAGGCCTCTGCTGGGCAGTGACCACCGGATAATGAAGGAGCAGGAGGCGAGCCGTGATCTTGATACGAACAATGGCACAGGCAAGAGGCCGAGGTCGAGCTCAAAAAGGCCCAGGTGAATGAGCAAGCGTAACAAGAGTGCTCTCAGCCTACCCTATCTCCCTCGACGGTCTACCGCGTTTGTACCCAGTGAATTCCCTATTAGTTTGATGCACCAAGCAGTTGCAACAAATAACAATAGCGCGGAGATCCCGCAATAATCTAAGTCACCATGTGAGTGCATCCGCTTGGTGTTGCTTTGGGTCTGTTACACTTGCCGGACGTGTATATATATATACATGTATACATGTATGTATGTATGTATGTATGTATGTATGTATGTATGTATGTATGTATGTATGTATGTATGTATGTATGTGTGTGTCTGTCTGTCTGTCTGTCTGTCTGTCTGTCTGTCTGTCTGTATGTCTGTCTGTCTGTCTGTCTGTCTGTCTGTCTGTCTGTCTGTCTGTCTGTCTGTATATATGTATGTATGTATGTATGTATGTATGTATGTATGTATGTATGTATGTATGTATGTATGTATGTATGTATATATGTATATTTGTATGTATGTATATATATGTATATATATACATTGAATGTTTGATCTGAGCCAGCGTCGAATATCCGCCTCTTATCATGTTGAGTTTGCTCCTGTTTCTGCTCGTAGCTGGTAAGTTTGCATGAGGTGGCACGCAGTTCGCCTGACCTGGGTCATCAGGTCGAGGGGGGTGTTTCGATATAGCCTTTATGATATAGCCCTTCAGGTATTTGTGCAAGCCGTGGCGTTTGGCTGAAGTGATTGCAACCGCCGTCAGGCGGTGTGACACATCACTGCATCTTGCGCTGGCCGCGTACTGCACGAGCTGTGTCGATCCGTCTTACCATAGTTTTGTTAAACCTGCAGGAATACGAGGATGAGGATGAGGATGATGATGATGATGGTGACTGGTGGCGATGATGACGATGATGCTGATGATGATTATGCTGATGATGATGATGATGATGATGTTAATAATGATGATGATTACTGGTGGCGATGATGACGATGATGCTGATGACGATACTGATGACGATGACGACGATGATGATGATGACGATGATGATTATGATGATGATGATGCTGATGATGATGCTGCTGCTGCTGATGATGATTATGACGATGATGATGACGATGATGATGCTGATGCTGATGATGCTGATGATGCTGATGATGCTGATGATGATGATGATGGTGATGATGATGATGATGATGATGATGATGATGATGATGATGATGATGACTGTGCTGATGGTGTTGATTATGGCGTTGTTGATGACGAGGCTGATGATGACGATGAGGATGCTGAGGAGGAAGCGGGGGGGAGGGGGGGGAGGGGGCAGGATGCCTTCCCCTTGCACTCCCCGCGCCCTTGTGCCCCCCTTACGCGGGCTCCTCCCGGGCAGCGCCGCTGCCGCGGGGGCGCCGCTGCGGCCAGGAGCCCCTACTCGCCCTCGATGTTCGAG